GGAAATTGTGGAAAAGAACTTGCCAATTCTAAGACTAAAAAACAGTATCTAGAATAACTCAGGATGGTTGTAGCAGCACGTTTGACACAGCTTAAGAGAACTCAGAAAATGGTAGGCGGATCAGAAGAAACTAAAGCAGTGAAATGAAAAGATAGGAAATGTAGAATATAAAGAGGGAATCATTTTTTATTTCTAGAAATTTGCTGGACATAGTTGTTCCCACAATGAGAATAGATGGGACAAAAGTGCTGAGAAGTGGTATTAGCCTTATTATATTGTTGGTATTGCATGCAGGGAAGAACATGGAACAACAAATATCAGTACGTACAATTGTAACGCACCAACCAAAAGGAGGGAAATAAAAATGGTAAGAGATTAACAATAAAATTATATTTTAATAAAGGTTATATAAATGTAAAAAAAAATACAGGACAGGCTGGAAATCATTTTTAAAAACACATCATAGAGCTATGATTAAATCCATGCTTTGTATTTTTGGTAGAAATAGCGCAGAAGTGATGCCATATCTTCCTATCGGGAAGTACATGGTGTTGCTGTATCCCATTAGTCATGACGGCTTGGATCACTTTCAGTTTTCTGAAGTTACTATTTCCATTTGTAGTAAGTATCCTGTAGGAAGATATTTTAAGCCCAAGTGTTCTGTTCCTTCTTACTGGTGTGTCACCCACGGAGTATTCTTGCTTAAAACAATGATAGCAGTTACCAAGTCTTGTACACTGTTGAAGAATGAAAAGGAAATACGTTTGTGTTTTATAATTAGACCTGTGGTTCACTATATTCTTTGTGCCTTTCACCAGGTTGACAAGGTCCTTTTTTAATTCTCAAAGTTTTTTATCATGAGTAGATGCCAAAATTTTTGCCAAATGCTTTCTCTGCCTCTATTGAAATGACCATGATTTTACTTAAGTCTGTTTCTAGGATGGAGTGCTGTTTTATCGGCGTCCCATACCTGGTGTAACCATTCCTGCAAACCTGTCACCTTCAACTGGTGTCCATGTAGTATCTTACAAAGTCACAGGTCTGACATGGATCTGGAGGAGCTAAAAAGTCAAGGTGCTGGTGAGGCTGCATTCCTGGGGACACTACAAGAAAATCCACGTCCTTGTCCTCTTCAGCTTCTCAGGGGCCTTGCTCTTCCTCAAAGCCAGCAAGGACCCACTGACCAGTCTCACATTCTGTCACCCTGACAGTGACTCTCCTTCTGCCTTCCACTTCCACTCACTGGTGTTCACATTCATGCCATTTGGATAATCCAGGACAGTGTCCCTATTTTAAGGGCAGGTGACTAGTTCCATCTGCAACCTTCCCAAAGTAAGGCAACATTGTAACCAATTCCAAGGATTCGGATTTGGACATCTTTTGGTGAGTAGTTTGCTACTACAATTGTAAAGTTGGATTCTTTTTTTTTTTT